AGTGTTTTATTTCTCAAGTTTCGTAATTTCGTACTGTACGTCTACACAAATCCAATTAGGACGCCAAATGTATTTATTTGATATTGCCAACAAACTATAAAAACAAAGCTTAATTACGACAACAACAAAAAAATATTGGCAACAACCGCAACAATATCGATAACAACGAAAACGAATGTATGTAAATTAACCGCCTCGGGTTGCATCTTTGGGGCTTCCCATATATGTGGGTTTTGGGGGGAAGTGCTCCATATAAATGGATAGACACAACGTTGTGTACTCTCTGTGTTGGATCCATTCTTATGTATAACTATTTTTCTATGCCTTGCATTAAATTCTATATAAAAGGGGATTAAAAAAAACACGCTGAAATGAGCTAACGACAAATGAAAAAGCACAAAGGCGTCGATACAAATACGATTAAATTACAAGCTTTAGCTGTATTTGTTGTTCTCGAGAGAGACAGAGAGACACAGAGATAAAAATGTTGAGAGAGAGTTAGAGAGAGACAGAGAGTAGACGGAACGATATAGGGGTTCTTAATGCACATTAAACCATAGAACACATCCAATTTTCAAAGTCTGCAAAAACAAAACGCTGAAAAAGGAAAATTAAAAATCAATAATATTAAATTGAGCCGACGCTCTTGCTGAGCGCATATCGAACAATGGGCGGGGCATTACATTATACTGTGCAATTTTTCTACTTCTTCGTCATGTGTTTTTTTCAAATAATACAAAGAAAAAAAGTAAGAACTTAAGCGTATTAAATTGGATTTGCCCTCAAAGCTGCAACCAAACATGCGACAAATGCGACACACACACATACACACATGTGCATGGAAAAAGTTTGTGTGTGTGTGTGTGTGTGTGTGTATGCTTGCATTTGTTTATAACGCTTATAGCCAACTCTACTTATATGAGCATTACACAATGTGGGAGCCTACTAGAGCACTATTTAATAATTTTGTTTTGAGCAAATTCATTTTAAAACTAAGCAAAGAATAAAAAACAGTTGATTCTATTTGGAAGCCCAGCTAATAAATGCACAACTAACCTCAGTTGAAGGGCCGCCCTCAAAAAATGATGGTGCCATCAATTTGATGTTGACATTGCCAAGAAAGAATTAATGGAAATGCATTAAAAATTGATTTACGATGCTATTTACGCTCATAAATTTGTAGCTATTTAGCGGTACCACACAAAAAACCTACAAATTGTCAACACAAACAAAACAGCAGACGCTCCTCGACAAAAAAAAAAAAAAAAAAAAAAAACTGAAATATTACACTCGAATATTAAACAAAACGAAGAAATGAAACGAAGCGAAGCGGAAGCCAAGCAAAACATTTGCCACAACAGCCCAAACAGAAAAGAACATAAATGAAAATAAAACATAAAAATAGAATTGACGATGCGTTGACAGTTGAAGGTATGGCATCTGGAATGGGACCGACGACGCTGACTTGCCCGCAGGATACGTGTCCCTTACACGGGATATTTATGTAAGACGGGCTTCAGGAACATGCGATAAATGTTGATTCGTTGAACAATGGAATTTTAGTGTGTGGCTCAGATATGACTCGCATTTCTTATAATTAATATAGGGCTGACAAAACAACTATTGAGCTTCAATAATGGGAGGCTATCGGCTTCGCAACAAGCTTATATCATAGATAGAACCATAAGTTTTATAGACGACTCAGTTAGCAGCTATTTTTGCATTACTTTAAAGTTCCTGTCAAATATAATTCGCCAAATCAGCCTGAGGGCTGTGTCCTGTATCTATGCGCTATAGGTTTTATTGTAAAACCGAAACAAACAAAAGAATTTTTGAATCAGAAGCAATAAATTTGATGACATTTATTGGTTTTTGCTGGGTGTCATGACCCATCAACAACAACATGAACGGGGCATTCTTTGCGTCACATTCAGCCTCGACCTTATGATACCCGATTCCATTAATCCGGGGGATGACTGTCCGGTGTGTCCATGTGCCTATCTCTGTTAGGGTTTCTATATGGTGCGGGTATCATTTTCGGACTTACTGGCACCGTTTTAAGAGGCACTTGAAACGGCTTCTGTTGGGTCGGGCCTGATCATTAGCCCAAAGCAAAGGCGGCCACGCTGCCAGCGGCGCGTGCCGGCATTCATCCCTCCCCCCCCAACGACCATAGAAATGCACCCAAAGAATATAAAGCCAAATAGTTCCGTTTGACAGTTGCAGGGAACACTCTCAAATAATAACAATAACAATAAACCGAGCATGCAGGACAATACAGGACAATGCCCGAGATGGCTAGGTGGAGAGACCTTGGACCTCTGCGGCACCCCAACTAATGAAACGGGGGATGGCACTGGACAAAGGTCAGCAGTTTAAATTGTGTCATGTTCGCATTTCTGACATCTCCCTTTCTCCCTTACCCCTGCACAAGCAGCCAGCCGGCCACCATCTTGTCGTCCTGTGCACATTCAAAAATTGAAATATTACACATTTATTTCAACACAGCAGTTATTGCTATGAGAGCCAGACAATAGCCTTTGCCAGTATTTTGCCACATTGACAGATGACCCGAATGTCTACGACCCAGGACATCAGGCAGCGCGCCGCCCACCAGCAGTGCGCTTCCAACGCAAGATGTTGGTTCGCCTATTCCCAGGCACTACCTAATGTGACTGCTATGAGTGGGTTCTGCCACATTCGATTTAAAGTCTCGCGCTAATGGCACCACATCCACGCTCAAATGATTTTTTCCACATGCATACTTGTCGCGTGCCATTAACGTCAAATGAAAATTACATTTTTCAATAATTTAGAAATGTCATTAAAATGGCCACTTTCATGCATATATTCTACTTAGGGAGATAAATACACTATCCCAACAAAATGTATATATTCTAATATATAATGGAAAACTAAATAGCATGTAGATACAGTTTAATGCTATTTAAAACAAGAATTAATACTGGTTTTATCAGTTCCAATTAAGGATTTCGATATCGATAATTATCAGTTGCTTGAAAACGGAACAAGTTATCGATGATGAAACAAACTCGAATGGCGAATTGACTCGGCATTTGATGCTGATCAAGAATATATAAAATCCATCATGAGTTCAACGTATAATAATTGCGACCCAAATATTTCAGCTCCAATTATAAATAGACTAACATAAGCGAATAGGCTTTTGAGGCTAACAATTTAAAGTTCATACAAGGTCCCCCACCCACATTATGCTAGCGATTTATTAAGCTGATTAAATTGAATAGCAATTCATATTTAAGCCAATTAGGGGAACGATCTTTATGGAGCATCGAACAGACGGCACTAATTGGCAGGCATTTAACACTTTCCCCCTGCAGAGCCCTTAACATGTTTCCCAGTGAAAATGGAAGGCACTCCGCCTAATCGTTGGCTGCCATGTGATGTCGGCTGCCACTGGGCCATGGAGATCATCATCAACATTAGCAGCGAGTTTTTTTTTTTTGGGGTTGGGGAATTTGTAGAGGCAATGGGATTCCCCCCACGCGCCATCCAATGTCGATGATAAATCGGTTTGAAAATGTTTGTTTTCATAAACAATTTTTTAATAGGCCCGCGCATGTCTCAGCTTAACACGACTGCATTCAGTTCGGGTTTGGGGTCAAAACGATTGTGGGCGGGGTTAAAGAGTTAAATCGTTTCGAGTGTATCTATTCGGTTGCTGGGCTTAATGCGTATGACTTTGATGACACGTGAGTTGTAGCGCTTGTGCTGTGAAAGATGGTTCCATGTTTGGAATTTAAAAAGAGTTGATAAATCAAATGTTTTTGGGAAAACATTACGACGCCCCCGGGCCAATTGGTGTGCCCGACAAATACGCATAGTTTGTGGGCAACTGTTAGGTGTTAATTGTCAGCAATTTGAATGGGCTTTCTTTTTCATCGCTCTATCGCCACATTTATTCTAGATATTCATAATTCTCGCTGCGTGATACTAGAATGAAAAGCAGTTCAGTGAACGCAAATAGAACTAAAAATAACAAATATAACAGATAGGCGAGAACAAATTTTTTACATGTGAGGGAGGCGAGTTTTCCGCCACTGACAGTGACACTGAAGTGGCACGTGGCACGACAACAAAATTTATGAAATTTTCTGCTCCTCGACATGGTATTTAACTGTACATAAAAAATGCTCGCAACAGGTGAAAAAACAATTTTACGGCCGAATCACATTGAAAATGTTTCTTTCCGTTTTTTAAGACATAGATATATGTTTATACATACACAAATACATTTAGGTATTTACGTACTCATTTTATGGTAAATAAATAGCTGCCTAAAAAGCGGCAAGCAAATTCCCATCATCATCGCTTCCATAAGTTATTAGCTAAGCAGATCTGTTCAAACATGGTCGACCATAAAAAACTGGCAAACTATCTATGGAGCAGGTAGATTTTTCACATAATTTTCAAGGCTAACGCAGTATTGTCCTTTAAGCAGTGTGATTATCTTTATAAATATGAAGCAATTATATATTTATGAAGATCATAACGAAACGATTTATGAGGTCATTTCTTTTCTTTGGGTATGCACTCATTCCTGGCGGGACATTGCTTTTGTGTTGTTGGAGTGGGACTTTACGTTGGTTTGTATTCTTTCAATTATTCTGAGCACTCAGAATGTGGCCGTTGCCAAAAACCTGTTTTATCAGCAACAGGAACGGAAACAACTGTAAGACAGCTGTGTGCGACACGGAACCCACAGGTGGAAAATATGGAAAATTTGTTTAAGATTATAATGTAAGTACTTCGAATTTGCTAGAACACAACATATGATTTAATGTTTCTTAGCTGATTAATTGTTTTATATCAGACTGGCATACATCTCAAGTATATTTTATAAATATTTATAAACGTATAAAAAAAATCAAGCAACCGGTGCATACGAAGTCAATTTGTCATAATTTTGTGAGTTGTTTTTTTGGCAAAATTAAAAATCTCATTCGACTTCAAACTTTCTAGTAAGACACATCTGGTTTAAGAAAATTACAAAATCATTTTTTTTAAAATAAAAATTTTGTAAAATTTTTCTTTTGGGTTTGTAAAAATTGTGATGGATTACGGCAACAGTGGCGCAGAATTCAATTGGAACTACGTAGGAGGCGTTGGTGGCCAAGGCGGCCAAGGCATGTCTGGCTATAATCCACAGGTTGTTGTGTAGGATTGTAGCTTTTGCCATACATATATATATATAGTATGTTCTTGTTATTGATGTGAAATTAATCAATAGGTGAGTCAGATGAGTCAGGGCGGCTATAGTAGCGGACATGGTGGCGGACAGTGGCTACACTCAAATCAAGCCAATCCGCACTCAAACTACCAACAGGGTATGGCCTCTAATTCGACTCCACCGGCTGCCTATGAGGCATACAATCAGTCAATGATGCGTTATGCAAATCTGCCCAAATCTGAAGGTGGCGGGATGGGTCAAATGGGTATGAGTGCCATGAGCGGCAATTACGGCGCTTATGCCGCCGGAATGAACCGCAATGGTAAGCGAAAGCATAATCAAAAATATTCATGTGCTTTAATCATTTGCTGTCCTTTCTGCAGGACTCGGCCATGCTGGCGCTGGTATGGGTCAAGGTGCTAATAGCGGGTATTCTAGCTGGTAACAGACTGCCCAAAGCCGCATTCACGTATTTTGCTCATCCTTATTCTGAAGCCGAAATTTCTCTGCCCACTTCTCATGTTAAATTTATATTAAAAAAATTAACAAAATAATGCTTTTAATGTAATCTGTTTTGCACAAGGCAGCCGATCGTAATCGATATTTAAATGCTGATCTGCATATGCTTGGGTCAGACGACTATTAACCTACGATTTGACGGGTGTTGTGACCTCATGTCAGCGCGGATCGCATGCTTCAAGGGTGGGCAGGGTTTGCAGGGGCATAAATTACGCAAGCAATGTATTTGTATACGCATGTATAAATTATGAAGCTACTATTAGTTGGCAGCGCTGCTATAAATTACAGAGAAGCAGCAACTGTGAGTGCCACTTCCCGGGGCATATGCAACTAGAATGGAATTATGGAATGGGCTGTTGGGATGTACAGACACGTATACCGTGCATCGCTCAACATCCACTTTTGTTTCTTCTAGTTTTTTGGGTAAATTTTTATTAATAAATTTACATAGACTTTTGTTTTTTGGGGCTGGTGCGCGCGCGTGTGTAATGATCTGTCGCTCTGGATCATGGTTGTGGATTAATGGTAAACCGAACGCATTTTTCATCGAACGTACATAGCATTTCCCGGCATTTCGGTTTTTTTTTTTTGTTATTTAGCGTTCCAGTAGTTTGGTGAAAATTTATGTCGACGCCATTTGCCATGCGCCGAGTTCAGTCAACTATCTGTCGATGGCTGCTCCAATTATGAGACCATTCCAGTTGTGCTCCAAATATTTGGACACCGTTGCCTACCAGTTGTTTCCGCAAAACGTGCCTCACACCACGAGTCCCCAGCAAACAAATGCCAGTCACGTCCACGGCAATTACATTGCTCAGATATACAAAAGAATAGAGCGTTACCAAACCGATAAAGTATTTAGTATATCTATCAGTATTTTCTATATAACATTTTTTTTTTTTTTCAGAAAACAGTTTGATAAAGTTATACATTAGAGAATATAAAGATTCGTTTGGATTGTTTCGATTTTTCGACAAATTATTCGGCGAGGAAACCGAATCGTGCGCGTGTTGCCCTTTCACGTTGGTGTTATTTTAATTTGTGTTTTTATTTCCGTCTGTTGTGCGCGCGTGTGTGTGTGTCTCTCTTTTTACGAATTTGTTTTCCATGCACTTATTTAATAGTGTTTTTATATTTATTATGTGCCTTTCTCAAGCTGCCTTTAAAGTGCCACATTTACCTGAAAAATGTATTTTTAATTTATTTTGTAGCTGCTTTATCGAGCTCATCAGGTTCAGAGGCGGCACCGGCGATAAGCACGCACCATTTTTGGTGGTTTTTGGCTTTTGAATTTAAATAGAGTTTTTATATTATTCGGTTTTAGTTTTAGTTGTCTTCACTGCAATCGTCTTAGTGCCGTGTAATGAAGTTTTTTATTGTTCGATACATTAACATTTCGTGTAAGTCGGCTATTACTCTACATTGTGCTCTTTATACCCATTCTGTGGGCATTGCCGCATTTAGGCATGAACGTGTAGATGAGCTTGAAAAACTTGTAGACGCGGATTGGGTATTTTGTAAAGTACTCCTCTGTTAGATATATTCATAGTGTCTTTTAAATACTATATGATCCCATTACACTTGACCGATTGTCTGTGATTCCATGGCACAAAAAACAGCGGTCGGCCATAAAATCAACACTTTGGTTAGCAAAACAAACCGTTTAATGCAAAACAAACAGTCAACAACTAGATACACCTGGTCAGCAGCAGCAGTAACTACAACAACAACAACAACAACAACAACACAACCAATGCATTCGTGTAGAGATAGCGTTGAAAAGGGCGTGGCACTTGTATTAGCATCAATGGTTGCAAAGTGAACGGCAAAAAATATGCACAATTTGTACAACATTTTTGTTAAAAACCGCAAAAATCAATTGACAATTTAAGCACCACCTGAATATGTGTGTGTGTGTGTGTGTGTGTGTGTGTCTGAAATTAATATGCAACACTTTATAGTGACTTTTCTATTGAACTTAATTGAATCATAAAACACTCGATGCTGCCAATCGTGTGGCATTTTGTTGTTGTTGTTTTTTTATGCGTATTTTTAGCTGCCATGAAATAAACCGACAATTGAACTTTTTTGACAACTCTTCACGGCATCGAATTGACAACTCTATACGTTGGTCACCCGTCGCTTTTCCACTGCATTTATCACTCGCTTGAAGGGCGGGTTCAGTCTAATCCAGCTGATATCAGCGGGTGGTGCTCCGGTGGCCGGGCCGGCGATTAACCTACGACCGCTAGCGGGATGGTGTCATTTTAAAGTAGCCATTACCACGCCATTGTTTGGCTTTAATGGACAGTCCCACACTCCGCTCGACCCCCGGTCCGATCCAATTTCTAAGCGTCTGATTGATATGTCCGGTGGCGTTTCCCAAAACTAGAGCCTACGTTGCGTATATCAGAGGGTTAGCGCTAGTCACAAATAATGGACACTGTTTGTCTCTGGTTGAAAATAAATGAAGTGAACTGAGAATTCGCAGCAACGGCTCCTTATAGATATCAGATATCTAATGCAGTTTTTGGTTAAGAGTATAACAATTCCAAATGAATGGATGCAACGGTTAAAATAATTTATACTTTAAATACCCATTTGAAAGATTTTTATTGAAATATTCAATCCTTTCGATCCCGTTCCAGTTTTTCTGCCAGATCACCAAAAACTTCTTAGCGTGGTTAAAAAAAAAACCCCGATAATGCAGTAAATCCAGTATATAATATATATTAATTAAAATCAACATTCTTTTAATATCTATGAAATGCATCGTGGACACGCGAATTCGGAGAAAATAATCAAGAAATATTTTCAATCATTTGTGACGGCGCATCCACAACCGAAAATAGACAGACAGACAGACGGACAGGACAGACTGACGGCAAAGGGCATCAATTTTATTTGTATTTTATATTGTTTTCTTTTTTCTTTATTACAGTTTTAACTCGAATATATAAAAGAAAAAGGGAGCAATGCCAACAATTGCGCTAATTTCGAAATAAATTTTTAATCTCAACCAATGGACAATTGCAATCAGCACACGCACATCCACCCACATGGGTTTGTCTTGACGCGGTGACACCCCGTCTGCGGGCCAGTGATCAGGGGTCAGCTGACCGTTGGTCAGCAACCAAGTGTCCACACACCCTCAGTAGCATCAGTCGCACAACAAAGAGAAACGTCAAAATTAACGAATGATTTTGGCGATTTAACGCTCAAAAATTCGAACGGAAGATGAAATTCCATGCTTTCCAGTTCAGAAATTGGAATCGTGTGTGTATGTGTCCCTGTGTGTATGCGCATGTGTGTGAGTGGTGGTGAGGAAAAGCAAGTCGAGGTCAAGTCGTAAGCGGATTTGTAACGCCCACAACAATTTGTAACGGGCCAGACAATGCAAGAGGACCCAGCGCGTGTGTCAGATTCCCCTCAGAGAGTTTTAGGCGTCAGGGCGAGGGACCAAACACCTACTACAACGGCAACAGTAGCAGCAGGCGGTCAGCGAAGGGTTCGGTCTGTCAATTCATGTTCCCAGTTTGAAACGCGCCACTTTTGAGTCTTTTTCCCAGTTTTTCGCTTTGTTACCCACTTTTATTGGTGGCCGCTTTGACACCCAAATCCCGTCAAAGTCATCAGCCGGTCAGCCAGTCCAGTCCTGCAAGGTGTTGTCTTTGTGCCAATTCATTAGTTGAGCCGGGCACCTACGCTACGTACAGGGATCACGGACCAAAGATCAGCGTCGGGTACACGGGTTTGTCACGCGCCAGACTCGTCAGCAACTATTGATGGTTCCATTTGAACAATTGGCCATTGTGTCGGTTTTACAGTCTGCATCAATTGTGAATTGTTTTAATTACTCTTGATTGAGTTTTATGTTGGTATAGACGGGTTTCGTAGTCCTCGGGCACACGGTGAAAAATGATGCTGAGTCGAACAAGAATTAAATGGGCCAACACCAAGGGAACGATACATATAAATTGGGTTTAGGGTAAAACACTTTCATAGGAATTCTTAAAAATGTCTAAGTAAGAATATTTAATAAAAATATGATTATAGCTGGTGCCTCTTCAGCTCAATTCAAACTCGAAAAATATATAAATATATTTGCCCAACATCTGTGGGCTAAAACATGAGTCGTAAGGATAAAATTGACATCGAAAAGTGAATCCCTCAAAAGACAACATATTCGATTGAAAAGCCAAACTACCACAAATTGTTAATATTTGAGACCCGCTGATGGGTTCCCGTTCAAGCAACCGTTAGCCAACCCTTTTGGCCATAAACCAGAAAAGTGCATAAAAACGTCAGTCAATCTCATAAACAGAAAATAAAATCGAATTGAAAATATCTCGACTGGCGATATCTATGCATAAATCGTGCCAAGTGGCAAGGGAACTGGAAGAGAGACTGGGACACGGACTGGGAATGGGCTTGAACCGCAGACGCCGCGCCAGCTTGGAATATCTTATTTCATAAACAAATAAGACATAAACTCCAAACTGAACCCTCCAAGCACGCACACATATATTCCCCCAAAAAGCAAATATAAATAGTCATACATATAAGTGAACGTAAATATACGGTACGCTATACAGACGTGCAAGCAAAGTTTACGCAGATTTTGCCACAACATCCTTTGGCAGCGAAAAGCCGAACCCAGACTCCATCAAAATTCTGGCCACAGAGCAAGCCGCACAGAGCCCCTCCGCCTTAAACACACGTACAGAGCCCCCGGGGGAGTTGCCGCAGCAAAAGGGTTGCGGCTGCACCTTTACACGGGGGTAGCTGGGACAGGACATAGGCTGGGTTGGGCTGGGCTGGTTAGGGGCGCGAGTTGACAAAAGATTTTGACTTTCGCCTTGGCGCAAGTCGCGATAAACTTTGACCAAAAATATTTCAATGGCGAGCCGCCAAAAGGGAATAAGTGCGTGACGCCCTCAAGGATTTTGGTTTCGGTTTCGTTGTAATAAGTACACTGAGCAAAATATATGCCAAGCAACAAAACATCTTCCAATTAAATAATCAAATAAAATGT